TTTAACTTGATATGTCAAATACTTTCGGAGATATAACATTTTTAAAGTTTTGTTAATGTGGGTTTGAAGATGGGATCATAATCAGAGAATATTCGATTTAATCTGCTCTAGTTGATCACATATTGCAAATTACAAAGTATTCTATATGTTTTTTTCTTTGTATTATGAAATGCAGCTACTTATGGTTCAGAAAATATCCCAAGTTGACTTCATGCATTATCATATTTTTGTTAATGTGAGCTTAAAGATGGGATTTTTAACCACAGCTTCTTCTTTCTTTTTTCATATTTCAACTCATCCATAATCAGAGACTATTTGTGCTACTTGTTTAATATTACAGGTTCTGAATCAATGACATGATGAGAAATAACAGTAAACATTTCAGGCTTTTATTTTTAACAGCTCCTGAGATATTGTTGATCAAACTGCCTCCAATTTGAGAGATGGTTGAGCAGAAGGAACCTGATGATTTGAAACGACATAAATCTAAATCTCTTGTGTAAAACTGTCTCACCCGTGTGTAGGAATAGGGCTGAGTGGAGGTTCGGCCTCCAACGGTCTGGCTCCGGTGCAGGTGGTCTACCAGCCTCCCCCCTGGGTTCAGATGACCACTCCGGCTCCCCCCAGTCAAGCCAACAAGGGTCCAGAGGACTGGACTCTGCCTCAGCAGGTTAACTTAGGTAACACATTTATACTTATTTTTTTATTTTACCAGCTGCGGTGTTAACATGTAAACTCAGTGTGTAACCGGCTCAGTGTTTCTCCTCCAGTCGATAATGACCCTCATTTTATCGTCCACCTGCCCGAAAGCGACACGCACGTCTGCTTCAACATCGACTCCAAACCCGGTCACATTCTCAACCTGGTGTCTGACAGTGGAACAGGTACATTTTTTTATTTATTCAAAGTATAATAGAAGTCAAAAAGTGGCTTCATGTGTCATTTAAACTCTCCAAAGGGAAATTAAACCCATTGCACCACCACATCCTACTTTAAATGTCAACTTTCTTTATATTATCTCACCTGCTCGCAGTAAAAAGACGCCTGATTGGCTCCCGTCAAAGGTCAGATTGGCTAAAATCTGAAACAGAGTCAGGAGGAGAAGCAGAAGTCTCTCAGACCACTTCAGTTGCTAAATGCTAGGAGGCTACTATGGATTTTTACTGCCTACCCATGTTTTAAAGGTGTTGCATGAATTATTAAAACATCCAACAAAACAAACGTTGCTCTCAGTGCTCTCTCAAATCAGTTTTGATCATATAAAGTAAAATCATGAGTCATGGATTAGCGTTGAAGGGCTTTGCTAACTGTGAAGCACATGACAACCAAAGGAGAAGATCCTCACCATCCTCCAGAACTCCTGATTGTTTAGCAGATTGAAAACCAATCGTTCAACAGGACATTTGAAATGAAATGAAAAATACTTTATTTATCCCAGAAGGGAAATTCAATATTTGAGAAAGAAGATCAGCATCAAAGTGATCTCATCAGTGTGAAGTTTTCCAACAACCAGTGGGTGAAATCATTGTTCTGGTTGATAAATATTTAAGTCGCAAACAATTTGTATCCTGGTTTTTTTAATTAGATTTTTTTATTCTGCTTTCTGACCTGCTGTCTTTGCACACATATTTGTTGTTTCCTGTAACATAACACGTGCAGCAATTTGGCAGTTTAGGTTGTTTTAAAAGAAACTGCACAAATAAATTTGATTTGATTTGCTAAGCTAAGCTATGCTAAGCTAAGCTAAGCTAAGCGTCTCCTGGCTGTAGTTTCACAATGATCCGACACATATATGACTGAGGTATCAATCTTCTCCTCCAACTCTTGCCAAAAGTGTTAAAAGGCACATTTCTTGATATTTCTAACTGTTCTTTTCAGTGCACGTATTACATCAACCTTAGCTACCAGGTAGCAAAGATGCTCAACCTTTAGCAATATCTACAGACTATACTAGACACATTTGTACCTTGATGCTTACTGAACTGTCAGTCACATCAGATTTAAAGTGTTAAACCTCCTCTTTAACCGTCTGTCTCGTCCTGAAGGTGTTGCGGTCAACGGACAGCTAATCAGATCTAAGCACAAAAGAAAATTCAACACCTACTTCGGCGTCGTCTCCGTCTACTACCAGCCGGACGGGGTCAGCGTGATGATCAGCACCGACAGCATCGCCATGACCGACGGTAGCAACAACCACACCTTCACCTGGCAGGCCACGGCCGACATCACGCAGGACGGGTACCTGAAGCACCTTTAACTCCAACTGTCGGCCTTTCTGTCCCGACACCAGGCTCAGTTTGGTTTCATGTTGCTGTGTTTCTGCTTCAGGGTGAGGATCTCCATCGTGAGGAACTCTCAGGTCACCATCACGATAAACAATAACATCCAGGTGATGGTGCTGCTTCACCGTGTGTGGAAGAAAAATCCGGTTAACGTCGACTTCCTGGGTGTTTACATCCCCAACAACAACCAGTACTCTCCTCTGGTCCACGGACTCATAGGTACGTATGCATGGTTCATGGCTGCAGGATGGTACTCTGATGCTTACTGCACATAAACATGGACAAATTCAGCCAGAGGTTCCTTAAAGGAGGCCGTCTTTGTAAATTATTGGGCCTAGAAGAAAATCTAGACTTTGGAGAAAAGGGTTGAAGCCTGTGATGAGCTGAGGAGTGATAACCTGTAAGTCAGGTTAACATCTGTTTAAGCTTTGATATCTGATATTACTCTAAGGATTGCGAACAAAATACATAAAAGACAAAGAAAAACCATCGACCAAGATGAATTTAAGTCGGAAAACGCCAAAGTGTCCAAAATCTGATGTGAATTAACCAATGTTACGCCATTAAAAGACGTTTTCTGCTTGTAGAATGTTAAAAATTGTTCAAAAAGTACTGCTTCAGTCTGAATAATACCTTCCTTGTTGACACTGAACACAAAAGAGCGATCCTGACAATTTGTTTACCAAACATTAGTGGGTTTTTTTTCTTTTGTCTTTCCATAATTTAAAACATCCAAATTTAACATGTTAACGTTTTACTACCAGCTATTTTTGTAAATGGTTTTCCATCATATACAGTTCCTTTAAGAGAAACTCAGATGATCATTAATTATATCATTGCCACTCATTTAAAACTAGTCTTCCACTTAATCTTCCACTTAAAAGTTCTTAAGTTATTACACTGAAATTAAATTACATAAGTACAGCTGTATGGAACATGTTTCTCACTGAGGATCTGACTGGAATTTGGAGGTCTACAGATTATTTTATTCTTGCAGTAGCAGGAAAACCTTTAAAACAGGTTCAAAACCAATTCACATATAGATTAAGATCGATGAACCCCAAGTATTGTCCATTATGTTCCCATGTACGGTGGTTAACTAACTGTAATGAAGTTAAAAATGCCAACTTGTAAACAGGGCAGTTTTCCAGAGAGCCTTTGCCTGAGGTGAGCGTGTACGACATCCACGAAGGAGCCGATCCTCTGAAGAAGGAGGCCACCATGGAGGTGAAGGGCAACAAGCTGCTTGTCACCAGGTAAGTTTGAACCAAACCAACTCTGGTAACCCTGAGATTTCAATGATGGAGTTTAGGCACATGCATCTTCGTCACAAAAAGAAAACAACAACAAAAAAAAACATGCATTTTGTTTTTTTTCATAGATTAACAGGTCTTCTGGAAATATGACAAAATCTGCCGGATCAAACATGTACATACAGCAAATTGAATTATCAGTTTTGATGATGAAGAAAGCTGCGTTAACCTTATTTTCTTAATGACACGACATCTTACCTTCTCGTGAGTGATTATGATTGACTATTGCTGGTGAATTCTCTGAGCCAATTTAAATAGTCAAACACTTATTAGACTCAGCCACAAACATGGAAAAAAGTTTGCTGCTGTTGACACAGACAAAGAAAAGGCCTCCTGGAGGAAGATATGTGGTCAGACAAAACAGAAATTGGCCAAAACGAGCAGAAATATGTTTGGAGGAAAGAAGGTGAGGCCATGAACCCTCAAACCACCAAGCATGGCGGTGGCAGTATCATGCTCTGGGGCTGTTTGGCTGCCAGTGGAACTGGTGCTTTACACAAAATAAATGGAATAATGAAGAATATTCTTCTGGAAAACCTAAAATTATCATCCAGAAGGTGTTGGACACAGTTCCAACGAGACTATGACCTCAAACACACATCAAAAGTGGTACAGAAATGGTTAAATCAGGCTAAAATTAAGGTTCTAGACTGGCCTCCTCAAAGTCCTGACCTAAACCCATCAAGAACCTGCAGACTGTGAAACAAGTCTGTGACAGAAAGCCAACAAATGTAGTTTAACTGCACCAGTTCTGTAAAGAGGAGTCGTCAAAAATCCAACCAGAAGCTTGTGGATGGCTACGAAAAGCGCCTAGTTGAGGTGAAAATGGCCGTTTAAAAGACATTTAACCAAATACTAGCACTTTGTATGTACATATCTGACCCAGCAGAAATCTATGAAAGAACCAAAATGGATGTTTGTTTCTTATGACAAAGAGGTTTCAGTGATTCCATCATAGATACTTCAGAGTTCTAGGAGTCACTGGAAACTCAAGACTGCCACGATTTACGCGCTCTTTACGAGTGGATGTAAACTTTTGTTTACGACCTCATGATCCAACCATAACTTGTTGTGTTTGCGTGTCAGGGGCTGGCAGAAGGACTACCGACGCGACACGAGGCGCGGCTCCAACGTCTACTGCTGGTTCATTCACAACAGCGGGAAGGGCTTCATCGACGGCCACTACACCGACTACATCGTCCCGGATCTAGACAGCTTCCTCCAGATGCCCTGAGCAGCAGCAGCAGCAGCAGCACACATTCAGTACGGTGTGCTGCTGTTATTACCAGCAGCAATGTTAGTAGAAATACAACCACTTTAAAGAGCAAGAAAAAAAAAACATGTCACTTTTTTGTCACACTGCATTTCTTAGTAATTTTCATACAAACACTATTTTCCACAGAAGTTCCTTTTTATCAAATTTATTTGGACAAAATGTACAACGTTGGGATCGACTTGAATATTGAGACAAAAATAAAAGGAAACTAAACAAACCGAACACGTCGCTCCGAGTCCTCAAGCAGGTGCATTGTGGGATATGTACATGTACAGGTGAGTCTTGGGGAATTAACTCTGACACAGTAGAGTCCCTCGGCAAAAAAAAAAAAAGCTTCCTGAGGTGTTAAAGTGGAGGGCTGCTTGTTCAGGCCAGTTTGGAGAAATCCTCGTAGGCGACGTCCACTCGCTTCCCTTTGTGCTGACCCTGACAGAGCAAGCAGGTGAAATGTGATTCATACGGCACATTTTAAAACTCCTGCACGTTACAAATTTAAAACATGACACACATATAAAGCACGGTACATAAAAATAACATAAACTACAGTCTTGTTGTGGGGAAACAAGACCCTGAGTTCTGCATGAGAAGCAGCTGTGACAGAATTAGGAATCCTAGATGACTGGTTGAAAAGCCCTGATTTGATTTTTGTAATGTTTTTTTAACAAGAAGAAGAAATAAAACTAATGATGGCTGCAGGAGAACATCCAATAACACACAATATGAATCCAGGCAACAGTTATTAGAAAGCGAAATTTGATTATTTTTAGACTAAATAAGTGAAATACGCCTGATCGGGAAGATTGTTTGACTTCATACCAAACATTTAGTTCAGTGTTTTCTCTATTAATTCTCTTTTAAGGCTTGTGGGGTGGATTATCAACCCACTGCTTAAAGATAAAATGAGGAAAAAAAGTTTTTTTTTGTGAGCTTAGCTTTTGTTTTGGCTGAACACATTTTACAGTTTACAGTTTAATCATCAGGAAAAATGGCAAAACTGTGACAGAAAAGTTTGAGATGTTCTGATATTTCTGCAGAAATCATAAGAACTCTGCACTGATTATTCGTTGCTGAGACTATTTTTCTGCACAAAAGCCAAATATTTTCTAAATTCTAGCGTCTTAAACATGAAGATTTGCTGCCTTATGACATGTTTTATGGCTTTGTATATGAATATTTTGAACAGCTGGTTGGAAACATGAAGCATCGTGAAGATTTTGGACTTTGGTAAATATAAAATTAATCTATTATTCGAAAAAAATAACCGTCAGATTATTTTTGTGTCCTCTGGCCACAGTTTAAATCTTTATACAGACTCAGACAATAAAACAAGACTAGCACGTGACACTTTCCTGCTTTAGATGATGGAAAAACTAAAGCTACTTACAGAGTCGACTGTGAGCGTAGCGCTGAATTGTTTCTCGTCGATGCCCTCCAGCACAGCCTCCATGTCTCTGTACGGACCGTTCAGGATCAGAACCTGTTTACCTGCAGGACGTTTCACAACGAGTTTGAGTCTTCTGCATTTAGGAATGTGTAGAAAGCTTTTGTGGGTTGGAGGGTTTGGGCGGTTTACCTGGCGCAGGTATCACCGTCTCCAAGTGGTTCTGGTCCAGTTTCAGTTTGTCTCCGGAGTCGATCATTTTCACCACGGCGCCGTATTTGTCTCGCACTTCCTGCAGCAGAATAGAAAAACACTAGTGGTGACCCTCTCTGTGTAGCATAACGCATGCAGCAAATGCAACTCAAAGGGCTTTACAGCAATAAAAACAGGAGAAGAGGATGAAAATGATGCTAAAACATATGATTATAAGTTACAAAATCCTATAGTAAGGTAATAAATCGGTCTAGTGTCAGTAAATTACATGAAACTACATAAAAAAAATAGATGAAAACAAGCCTAAAAACACACATTTTAAGGTTTGGTTTGAAGCTTTCTACTAAATCTGATGCTCTGATCTCCACTGGAAGATTATTTCAGATGAATTGGACCAAAGATGCATAATGCAGCATTGCAATATGTCTCAGTTCTACACTGGGGAGACCAGATTTAGAGGATCTTAGGGATCTAAAGGGGCATATCAAATAAACAATAAGGAGCCAGTACAGTAAGAGATTTAAAAGAAAAATCCTAAAATGAACAGAAAGCAGCTGGAAAACTCTTGTGCCAGATTTCGCACAGTAAAAACGAGAATAATAATGTTTATTAATATATAATAATGCGCTCTCTGTGTTTTGGTGAGAAGATGTGCAGTCGTTACCGTGACGACGGCCTTCTTCTTGTGGTACTTCTCTCCCAGTTTCTTGGTGACGACTTTGACGACGATGTTGGGCTGCAGCCAGTAATCAGTTCTGACCGACTGCTTCTTCTTCTTCTTCTCCTCCATCTGAACGGGAAAAAAAAAGCATCACACGTCTGATCAGAAAACCGAACAGCGATAACTTCCAACTAAACTCGAACACATCCAGAATCCCCACCTCGATGATCTCCTCCAGGGCAGACTTCTTCTTCTTCTCCCCTCTGGAGTCGGAGGACGTGTCTTTCCTCTTCACCGAGGACGACGCCGCTTTCAGAGCACTCGCTCCGAGGGCAGAACTACTAGGAGACGCAAAGACCGAGTTAGAAAGAGAAAGTTTGGGTTGAATAATAAAGCAACCTGCTGTGAGACTCAGTACCTCGGTTTGGAGGGACCGGCCACAGCGGAGCAGGCGCCCAGGTTGAAGGCAACTGCAAGAGAAGAGCAAGCAGAGGATGAGCGGAAGGTAAAGCTTCTGGCAAATCTGTTGCTCACGTGAGAAACAACACCAACCTTTTTCTTCTTCACTTTCACGTTTGAGCTCCGTGTAAACCGGAGTTTCCTGCAGAAGAAAATACAGCAAAGAAAGCGTCAGCTTAACTGCAACAAAGTGAGACGTGTGAGGTGAAACTCTGTCCTGCTGGAACCCACCTCGGCCTCCTTGCCGTCGCGGCCCCTCCGGACCTGCTCCTCGATGAACCTGGCGCTCCGCTCCTCGTCGTCCAGCTCCTGCTTCTTCTTCCGGGCCTGCTCCTCCTGGCGGCGGATGGTCTCCGGGTCACGGTCGATGTACTGGATGTACCAGCCTTTGGGGGTCTCGTCAACTTTGGCATAACCTAGTGGCCACATTTAACACGTCATTTCCTTTACGTGGAACTGTTTGATTATTGCTGGTTGCTGCACCGACGCACCTACAAAGGTTCTGAATAAAGTCAAATTGTAAATTGCAGCTTCTTGAACTGTTTCAAATTGTGATTTTATTCTCTAACAGTTAATTGTTCAACTCTACTCCAGGCTGCAATCCAAACATCCCACAATACCAACAGGTTGCATTTCCATCGACTGTATTTTTTGCTGTTTTTCACCAGTTTCGAGGATCTAAAGTGTTTCACCTTCTCTGCCGAGCCACTTGGTGAAGTCGGTGAGCGTCTCCCACTGAGTGGAGTTCATGTGGACGTGCTCACGGTCGCTGATGTACTCGTTGTACACGATGTTGTTGTGCACTCGCTTGGTCCCTGTGGAGGAGAAAAATAAATCAGTAAACACGTATTTAGTGAAAGATAAATGTTGACATGTTCTCCTACAATTAAATAGATGGAAAATGTAATTAAATAAACTTGTGTGATAGTGTATTGGTTCCAAATATCAGTCATCGGTTTCATTGATTACTGATTATGGATCATAGGCTCACTCTAGATGAACCAAACCTTCGCAGATTTAATCACAGATCAAAACAAACAAACAAAAAAACAAACAACATGGAGGAATCCATTCTCACCGAACCGTCTGCTGAGCAGCTCCAGGAAGTCGCTTCTGAACTCACTGCGAGAAAGAAAACAAGAGTGTTATTAAAGATAAACCCCTAACGTGTGTATAGATAATAGATGGATGGATGGACAACAGAACCAAACCGACTCTGAGAAGTAGTCCATGAACTTGTTGGGATCCTCTGAGGCCAGCAGCAGCTGCCTCTGGTGCGACTCGGACATGCAGTGACACTTGAAGCCATTCTGACAACACACAGCAAACACACGTTAGTTTAAAACACCAGCAGCAACAACAAACATTAAAAAAAAGACAGATTTCAGGCTCATCTCACCTCGTCGCGACACTGTTTCTGACACATCTGACAATACCACCTCAACTTCTGCAGACCTTTGGATTTGATCCGGTTGCTGATCGCTTTGGGAGACAGAAAATCTGCTTTCCCCATTTTGACCGACTACAAAAACAGAAAACAGTCGAGTTAAAGCTAAAAGTGACACAACACTGGTTGATTTTGTTCTCGATTAGCGGCTAATTCGAGGGCAACTGCTACCAAGGTAAACAGTTTCCGCGTGTGGAGCGTCAAAATCTCGCGAACAAAGCTTAAAACCTCGCGATACACGTTGCTGCATTCAGGAGCGCCACACAAGTCTCGTATTTTACGAAGGCTTTTTTCTTTTTTTCCCCTCAGAACGAACTTTATTTACAACAGCATATAAACAGGAATGGGAATGAAAAACTGAAGTGTCCTTACAAAAACATGAGCTGCAACCCAGCTGTGCGATGTAAAACATTACATAATACTAAAATTTAGAGGATAGAATTGAATGAAACAATAGATTAAACTTTAAAAGTAAACTAATAGCATTTGAAATCAATATAAGTCAGTACTGTCGACAGTGTTTTTTTGAGAGATGTTTTAAAGTTGTTGTTTAAAAAAAATCCTACAGACAAAATCACAAAAGGTTCAACAGCAAACACTTTTTTTTTTTCTTTTTTTTTAGAAAAGAATGTAAAAATCTGGACAAGTGAATACAAAATTTGCCCAGAAGACTGTCATGATGTTTCTGTCTATATTAACAACCATTACAGTTTGTGTCCTTAGATTTGAAAGGAAATTTGAGTCCAAAGTTACCAAGTTTTATGTTTAAATTATGTCTAATGTCTGATTTAGACCAAATGTTTCTGCAAATGTTTTGTGTTTACATCTAGTCACAGCTTTTGTAAAAGTTTGCAAAAGCAAAAATATTAGCAAAAAATGCAAATATGGTGATATTTTTCTATATCAACATTAACAAAATGAATTATTTAGCTGTGGGAGAAATATAAAAGGTGAGAGTGTGGAAACTTATTGTTATTATCCTTTTTTTGCACATTTTAGGTTGTTTACATGACATGCTGTAGGATTTTGCACATTCCCACGCAAGAAAATTGCCCATTTCTGCACAATCTGTGAAGTTGTTACACATTAATAACACTAAAAATATTTACATTACTTTATAACAGCTTTTTAAATTTTCTTTTTAAACTTTTCTTGTCTGTGTTTATTGTAATGCACTAAAATAAAAGTCAAACTCCTCAGAAGGGAAATCCTAAACGGATTATTAATCTAACGGTATTTCTGTCAGTCCCTGAATGCAGCGTTCGTCCATTTTGCTTTTAACTTGCGCCTGCGCAGTCCTGCGTGTCTGACCTTCATAGGAGTAACCATGTTCACCAGGAGCAGCTTGTTGGTGTTCTCCCCACAATGGTAAAGTCAAAACGCTTAAAATACTTCCACAGCCGTGGTTTTCTGTGCCTTTAGTGTGTGTTCTTAGTGTATATATGCCATTGGAGTAAATGTGTGACTTCTAGACTGGAAAATGTGCAGTTTCTGAAAGCAAGGACGAGCTAACGTGCAGGCCGCGGCTAATGAATGACAGCGGTGTGCTGCGTTCTGAATGGACCGCCGGCTACAAGCTAATGCTAACTGTCATGCACTGGCTGAAAGCTAATGACATTGGTCGAGGGGGTAGAAAAGAGAATAAAAACTTAATAAATCAGTGTCTCTGCGGATTGTCTGATTACACTGTTTAACACTTTCCAGCCACGGCGACATTATGAGCTAGCATTAGCTGCCAAACTTCTTCTTTGCTAGCGTACTTGCACCGTTAGCATGCAGAAAAGTCTACGTGGTGCAAGTTTCAGTTGAATTAAGTTTATGCTAACAGCAGCTAGAAAGCAGTGTTTATATTTACTCTATTAATACTGTTGTAATGTGTTTGTAAGACGTGCAGCTGAAGCTCACATGCACTATTTGTGTTCACAGTGGGCAGGTCAGGAACATGGCAACCTTGAAGGACAGTAAGTACTATTGTGTACTACTCGCATATTATGTAAAGACAACTGCACAACAACATATACCAGACTGTAAACACATGCTGATAACATCCCAGACTCAAAATCTGAATGAGATCCCCCTAAAATGTCAATGTCAAAGGCAACTCTTCAGGAGCTCTGCAAGTTTTTGCAGGAATTCACTTGAGGCAAATGAAAATTGGCTATAAAACGTGCAGATTTACTTGCATTGGAGGATGTTTTTGCATGGCTCAAAGAGGTTTTAACCAGCACCATAGGACAATCAAAACCAACAAATCAAAAAGAACTGAGAATAAAACAGGTTTATATATTGTTAAACCAATTTTGTTTATTGGGGTTTCAGTTGCTCAAGCATAATAGACATTTTGTCAGTTGGTCAGAAATAAAAGGAAAATGCATGAATTTGACAAAAGTAGTAACGCAGACCGATCATGCTTACTGTCATGCACAGTGACCCCTCAAAGGCACATTGTGAACCATAATAAACCCTGACCCAGTTTTAACTTCTGAGTCTACAAATTAAAAGGTCTTTACTTGATGATCGCGACAGAGGTTTGGCAAAAGGTGATGATGCTGTCAACAAATGATTTAAAAAGCAAACGGTGCAACAGTGATGAATTTCCTCAAGAATCCGGCCGTGTTGTTGCAGAAAACAGTGGATTATAAAACACTTTACTGTGGTGCATGTAGTTTTATCAGTGTTGATGTTATGGTTTTTAGATGAAAAGTTATTGGCATTAAATTATTGACTTGTTTACTTTCTAAATTGACCAAAAAAAACCTGAAAAATATTCATCAGTGTTTCTAAAAGCCCAAGATGACTTCATCAAACGTA